GTGGGAATCTCACCAACAGGTTATTTCACCTTCGTCTCTAAACTATGGACTGAAAATGTCAGTGACAGATACATAACAGTAAAAAGTGGTCTATTGGACAAACTTGAAGAAGGGGATTCTGTTATGGCAGACAAGGGGTTCAACATCAGGAATCTGCTTACAAGAAAGAAAGTAGCACTTAATATCCCACCACTTTGTAAAGGTAACTTACCCTTCAAGCCTGTTTGAGTTAGATAAATGGAGTTTCAGAGGGAAGGAATGGGAAAATCATTTGTATGCAACAAGCAAACACATGGTCTCCTTAAACAAAATAAAAAAAATCAGATATAGCAGCATAACAATATTTAATTGGTAGTAACAATGAAGTTGAAGTTACTTAACAACAGTATAAATAGTTATCAGTAATTTTTATTCATGGTAGAGTCAAGCCTCTCATCAGGGAGATACATGTGTAAACCATTACTTTAACTCTACCTCAAAAATTTGTTTGAAAAGGCTGTAGTTCCCATCATACTTAATCTCTTTTCTAGGTGCTTTGATATTTATAACATAGGTGTTCATAAATAGCTTTGACCGAAAAAGCAGCAAGTTCTTCACTATCAGTAGCTTCTCAAGTTGGCATTTCCTAATATGAAATCTCTCTTTTTACTTAGGAAAACAACTTTCCAAAAAGGCAGTAAAATCTAACCGTGCCATTGCGAGTGTTTGGATTCACGTAGAACGTGCTATTGGACGACTTAAAAGACTTTAGAACTCTTCAAGGAAACTTTCTTCTTCCAATGCTGCCCATTGCAGACAACATGACTTGAACTTTTTTTATTAACTTCATGTAAGTAACAACTTTTTGTATGTTGTTGATCCCATGCCAACTTCAGTTTTCTACTTTCAAGCTTTATTTATTTAAAGTGCGCCTGAGACGAAAATTGAACTTTTTATTTTGGGCTTTTTTGTTTACAGAATGTTCAATTGAGTCAAGTTAAAACGTTTTATGCCATTAAAAACGCGAAACAAACCTTCGATTACCAATTTTTACCGCTTCAAAGTCGTCAAAATTTCGTCCGCCATTGTTGAAAACATGTTCCGGAAGCGAAATGCATAAATTGTCATCATGACGTCAAACGCTCAACAAACCACGCATCACTTGTCGCATCGCTCTCCTACAACTCTCTTTGTGCGCTGCCCAGAGAAGTACGTCTATTGCGTTTTTAAGGACTGTTTAGTTGTAGTTCGTAAATGGAATCTTTCTCTGATGAGGAATTGTCCCGGCAACTATCTGAAGCTTCCGAGGATAGTTTTGCGTCGGCAAACGATGAATTTTTGCCATACGACCAAAGCATCGAGCCGATTGCCACCGAAGAAGAAGCGGCCGAGTACGCGGAGCTAGTAGCGCAGGAAGAAGAGGAGGAAGAAACTCTGTGGAGTAGATTTTCTGGCGAAGATGCCGTCGTGAATTGGTTTGTTACTCTCCTTTTAACATCTGCTCATTTCATGGTTGCGTTACTGAACTACCGCATCTCTACATGTAGCTTTTAGTGACGCGAGTATTGTTGACTTACTCAGTGAGTAACTTCTCTTTGAAGTGGATGTTTCATAAAGTGTGACCAAAATTTGTGGATTGAAAAATATTTTCGTTACCAGGTGCCAATGTTCCAACTGTTCACTAGAATTTGTGGTTAAACACGAAGAATGCAGATGCTGCAAAGAGGTCAATCGGTGCGTTGAAAAAATGGAGGAGCTAGAGATGGACGATTGTATTTTATTGCATCCCGGTTTCGCAGACGTTTGCCTGAACAAATGGGTGCTTCAAATTGCCGGAATTGGTCTGAAAACGAGGGAGAACAAATCATACACCGCTATGAATGCTTGGGAAGACAGAGCAGAAAACGAGTAAGTTCACGCGATAGAATTTATGATTTCCATCTATAATGTACGGTGGCCCATATCTGCAAACACAACAAACAATTCTTGCAACACAACACAATATTTTTGAAACACAAGTCAATTTTGTGAAACACAACACAAAATTATCGAAACACAACACAAAATTATCGAAACACAACACAAAATTAGCGAAACACAACACAAAAAATCGGTTTGTGTTCACNGTAGACTACGAAAATGTTGCATTTTCAATAATCTTTCTGCCAATTCTTCAGATTAATCAGTTGAAATATTTTCTTCCTGCAGATTCCTCCGTGCTGTGGCATACCGACAGTTTGTCAGACTGGTGTGGGAATATGTTGGGGCATCAAACCGTCTGCCTCTGCCCTGTTGTGTTTACAATAGAATAAGAAAGACATTTCCTATGGCTGAGAAATCAGAATACAAGGGATACGAGGAAGATGTATAATTTGATAGTTATAGTTGTGAAATAATTTTTTATGCTTTGACATTCTGGAAATTAAATAATATTCTTCCTCTATCAGAGAGAAGCAGCTCGGATGTTTGTCAGGTTAATTTTTTTCACAATACAAGTTGCTCATAATAAAGAGCAGTACACTCCCGAACATTATGTCCAGAAAAGTTTTCACAGAACGTTTCTGCCTGAACTGACAAAACGACCCTTTCTTTTGTCAAATTTGGTGTTTCTCGTCAATGTTCCGCTAAAAAGTAACACATGGAGTGAGCAAGGTGCAATTTTTTTCTCCAATTTTAATCTATAACTCTATGGGCCATTTTGGCTGCTACACTGTCCCTTAGTATGTCCCCTCCTTGGCTTTCCACAAGTCCTACACATTGGTGTTCTTCTCTGTCTTCTAACAGCTGTTGAATTTTGCTGCATTGCTTGAAGCTCAGCATCTGTTAAGGGAGGGTAGATAACAGACTTAGGGGATGTAAATCAATAAGTCAGAACCAGAAGTGGAGAAATACAATTTTTTGGGGGGGAAATATTGACTATTAGAATCAGAAAAAACCAGTACAAAAAAACCTTTGTAATAATTATTATCCTATTACATTCATACCAGAACATGTAGGAGGACATAGAGCAGTTTCCTTCACTTTTCGGCTACTGTATTTGGCTTTAGCAGCTTCCTTTTCCTCCTTCTGGAGCATCATGGAATGCAATGCTGCTGGCTCCTGTTCTGCAAGTTGGTCCTTTATGTTCTTCAAAGTCTCCCTTGATGTGGTTGTCAATATGTTGTACATTTCAGAGACATATTCTGAAAGAAGATTGAACAGTGGACTGTGTTATTATACTAAAATAAACAGTGGTACGAGTTGAAGTGCCAACTCTATTGGATTTATGGTCAAATTCATTGAAGGGTGATAACTCACCATAATTTGGATCAACTCTGACTTCTCTGACTGTTGCCTCACCCTGCTTGAACTTAGGGTATGTGACTTTAAGCCTAGATTTTCCATGTTCGTCAACCTTGGTTTCTCTTTTTAGGTTATAGTTGAAGTGGATTGCTGCAAGAACAGTCCTGTAAAAATAATCGTATTGGTAACACTATTTGCAGCATTTTCTTTCAACTGCACAAGTTTATATCCACTAAGTGGTACTTACCGGCACAACATCCCTGAATAGGAGTAAGACAGCATTTTTGGGGCAAACTGGTTTACCACAGAGTGGTAACCCTCCAAACAGCTAGTTTGGGCAACAGGAGAGGCCTGCTTGATCCCTTTCAACAATGAATTTTGGGTGAGAGCCTCTACCAACTTTTCGTAAGCAACAGAACCTGAGAAAAAGGAGGTAAAGGCATGGCAACTCTGACATTCTTTCAGTTACCTTTGCTATTTGTCTGTAAGGACTTACTTTGCATCCTGCCAAACCTCAGTGAAAGATTATCACAACACTGCTCTCTTAAAATAACAATTTAAACTTGCATTATTAACAATAAGTATGTCAAAATGCAATGCTCATTTAATGCAATGCAATGCTCATTTAATGCGGTGAACAGTAACAATAACAGTAACAGATTTCAAATACCTTTTGTCAACCAAACTTTTTGTGTGTTTATTACACCATGGGCACATTTGTTAAATAACTGGTTTGGTAGATCCTTGTGATGGTTGATGATGTGATAGAGAAAGGTTTTGAACTTGGCAAGTATGACTTCTCCCAGCTTTGGTTCTGTTGAGGTAACTGACCAATAAAAGTGCCTCACACATGCCTGTTTCCACCTTGCAATTACTTCACAGCCTTTCTCCTTACTGATCTTTGTCAAAATCTTTTGAATCTCTTGCAGAGAAAACCAAAGGATGAAAAACAGGACATTTAGACTCGTCAGTAGCATCATTTAGCAACATTCGACCAAAGGCATGATGCATATCAGTGCCAAGGAAAATTATATACACAAACATGAAAGCAAGCTTACTTTTGCCAATGTGCCATAGGTCGAAGAAGTGGTCAATGAGAGGCTTTCCTAATTCCTGGCATTTCTTGGGGCAATCCTGCCTCATCCACTTTGCAATAGACTGGTGGCGGTCAGAAATGAAGGACTTAATTATCATTCCAGTTGCAAGCAAGAAAGCAAAGGCTTTTTGATGTGCAAAAAACTCCATGTTAGAACTGCTGCCTGCTTCATTGGCCTGCAAAACCATTAATTTGGGATCATTGTAAAAAATATAAGACAGAATCATGCTATTGGAGCAAACTCACTAATGAGACTATACTGCAAAGAGGTGAAGAATACACAGATTGCTCTGTTAGACACCTTATATTTTAGCTTGTGTTGTTGAGCACCACAATTTGTAGTTATTTAACTGCATAGTTACTCAAGTTTTGTTGAAATTTACCTGGACAAGCACAATGTGAATAATGAGGCCGACAGTGCAGCAGAATATGGTGTAGGTTCCATATTTTGCTGAGTGGCCCATGCTGTCATGCCTGCCATCACCAGCTAGCACAACTTCTTTCCCATTCAGTGAAGTTATGACTTTCTCCTGATAGGAATGCCAAAATTTCATAATTGTGGGGAACAGGAGGTGCCGTTGATGGTAATAATAGGTGGCCTCACTGTAGCATAGCAGTCCCATGTGTTTGAAAACAAGTAAAACTTTGCCCACTGATGCTCCAGCACAGATGATAGCAAAGCTAAGAAGTATGTTTCCTGCTGGAAATTTTCCAATCAGGAAGGGTTGGCTGTTCCAGGAAAAGGTACCACTGCAACTTCTACACTTGGAAGTAAATGACAACATTGTTCCCGTCTGGCTAACATTAAGCTCTGGCTCAGGAGCAAAGCACAAATGACAATGCTGAAATAACAGGAGAAGTTTAGAGAGAAAGACTATTCCCTTGGGTTCCTCTTGACAGCTTTTGCCCTCACACTTCAGCCTGGAAATGACAAAAAAATAAAATTAAACCCAAATTGTTTACCTGCTCAGTGATTGGTAACATGTTGTAGGTTTAGGTTTTGTACTTAAGCAATGTTGAATACCTTACCTAGGTTTCTTAGAATCGTCAGCATCATCATCTCCTGCTTTATTATAAATGTCATCTATTTCTTCAGGTGCCCATGTGGGATCATTATCATCCCACTTTTCAGTAGCTTCCTCTTCGATGAGCGCAAAATTCATTTTGCAATCCAGTTCAGACTCATTTCCATCTGTGTCACCACTTAATAGTGAAGTATCGGCACCTACACACATATTAGTAATAAACTGACTATGAACAGAGAGTTCCACAAATGAAGCATAAAAATAGGTTACAGTTATGTGAAACAAGAACTATGAAGTGGTAAATATGTACTACAGCTTACCACTATTATTGTGAAATTTTTCTTTCATTGGTGAGTTATTAATGTCTTGAAGTGTTTTCACCCATTCTGTTTGGTTACTTGTCATCTTCTGCTTATAATCATTCAATTTTGATTCTGCACTTCTCAGTTGCCTGAGAAGTTTCCTCTTTTCCTTTCTTAAATCCTCACATTTCATGCAGGTTTGTACCATTCCATCAGTAGTCTGAAATACAAGACATTGATACTAAAGTCTTGAATGAAACATTCACTTATATTTACTGGAATTCAACATCTCACTTGCCTCTTGAAACAAAGATCCTCTAAGTTCCTCAGAAAAAGATGGTATTGGAGTATCTGTACGTGGGTCAGACTCTAGGTTTATGCTCTGTTATAAAAGTTAAGTTAAGTTATTTCAAATAGTTTAACTTCAGAATGCAAAGAAATTGGCGAAATATGTTGTACGATTCTTAAGTGTAGGATATATATATATATATATTAGGTTTCTTGAGTAATCACCGTTTATTGCTACAGAAATGTTTCGTATTGTACTGGACCACTCTCATCAGGCAATTTAACGAGTGAATTGTTGGAAATCACAGTTCTGTGCGCTCTACGAATTACATTCTACTACAAAAGAATATATATATATAGATGTGAGAATTTTATATTTGCCATAAATGTGTACCTGGCTTTCTACAGGGACTTCAGAAAATTCAGTTGACGTGGTTTGGGTTGGATCATCGTCAACCTAAAAGTTCATCGGAACAATGCAAGAAAAGAAGAAAGAAGTGAATAAAATGTGGCTCGATATTACCATCATTTGGGCGAAAATTTGGATCGGTGTAAGATAATTACTAATTACAATTTTTTCGATTATTTAGTACAATACCTGACTTAGGTCCACAACGAGTGCAGCCGATTCGTTGCGTATTTCTACATCCTCTTGCGAAGCAAGAGACGATGCGTTGTCAGATCTATTAATGTCTCTAAGCACCTAAAAGAAAATAAAGCATTTCCATGAAATGGTAAGGAATATTTTTGGAGGTCAATGAACTTCGAACCACATATAAAAGGTCAGCACGCATGTAAAGGTGACAAGAGACACGGACTTACATTTCGTCTTGATCGAGCTGAGAGCGGCTTTTCTAATCCCTTTTTTCGCACAGTAGGCACCGAACCCGGCAGAATTCTTCGCCTAGAGCCGTCCAAGTGCATGGATCTCTCAAAACAGTCTTCTGAGAAGTGTTCAGAACATATTACAAATCTACCTGTGGGATTGAAATTTGCCCGGCGGGTTCGCACGAATCGCATCCATTTTTCCCGTTCTGATCTATTCACAGGGCTCTGATGGAGAGAAATTCCACTAGCATGGTCTGCACAATTACTACAGCCTTGAACTACGCATCGGTGCCCCGTCATTTTTTGGATGTTGTAGTAAGAATGGAAAAGATCACTGTGTTATGTTTGTTTCACAACTAGCCATGTGAGATTTTCGAGTTGAGCGTTTGACGTCACTTCCTCTGAATACTGCGATCAACTTCCGGGACATGGTCAAATAATGGCGGACGCGAAATCTCGCATTTAACGGCCTAAAAAAAGACACTTCTGGTCCTCGGACTAGTTTGAAATTTAACAGGGTAGGTAAGGAGAACATACTGAACGCGAAAATGTAAAAAGCTGAAGTACGAAAATTTTGATCTCAGGGGCACTTTAAAGCAAAAAGTTAAGAGAGAATGTCCACTAACACTGAGCAAAAATGGAAATTCATCACACATCTTGAGAAATCAAAATTCTTCATATTTTCTCTGAAGATACCCTTTAGTAGCCTTAAGAAACATGATAAAATCTCTTGCTAGTGATATCTCTTTAAGCCTCCATAAATTAAACAAGCCGTCACAAGCCAAAAAAATATGTGATTGGTATCTTCCCTTAAAATTTGCCCTTTTCAATTCGCATCATAGAAAGAACCATTTTGTGCTTTCAACATTGCTGTTGAAGTCTTTCCAAGTAACTTGACTTCAATCTTATCCCAGCGAATAATAGTTAGAGGTCATAGTAAGCTGATGAAGTTAACTAAAATTCACTTTAAAAAATTTGTAATTTATCATGTTTTTTTTAAGGGACATTTTTGTACCTGGTAAAAGATTGAATAACTTGGAATTGATATTCTCAAGAGAATAAATGCTGATCTAAAATGGGATGTAAAAATTAGTCTTGGGCTTTTTACCACTGCTGAGTAGGAAGCCCCTTAAAATAGTGGTTATCACAACAAAATCATGTCAACCTGAAGTCAACCAATAGCACTTTCTCCAAACCCATAAGCAAAAGATTGTAAAATTTGTGCCTTTGGTCGTCAGTAATCCACAGTGCTAAAGAACTGCATTTTTGATTCCTGGAATAAGATATTTACTAAATATCTATTTCCAGGAGTGTTTTATTGCTAGTAGATTAGCCATCTCAGGTAAGCATTTCAAAATTAGTGTCACCCTGGACTGTATCAACTTACACGAGTTTATTCAATTTTCCCAGCTTATTTTTTTTTGACAAATAACCCATAAGAGCCTTTGCAGATTTAGGAAGGGCTACTCAACTGAGCAAGCTATCTTAGAAATTACTGACTTACTTAAGAAGGCTATGGATAAAAAATTGGTTACCTGTGGTATTTTTCTTGACTTTTCAAAGGCATTTGACACAATTAACCCATGATATTCTGTTACTGAAACTTTATAGCTATGGTATATGTGGTGATCTTCTCAGATGGTTTGAAAGTTACTTGTACAATCCAAATCAGGTTGTCAAAATTGGGGACACTATATCTAGTAGTAAGACCATTAGTTGTGGTATACCTCAAGGATCAACTTTGAGACCATTGTTATTTTTGCTCTATAGTAATGACTTACCAAACTGCTCAAGGAAACTGTCCTTCTGAATCTTTGCTGATGACACTAATATCTTCTATACAAGTAATAATCTGCATAACCTAGAGTCTGTCATGAATGAAGAATTTAAACGAGTAGCTAAGTACTGTGCTACAAACAAATTATCTATAAACTCTTCAAAGGCAAATGACATCCTAGTCTCATCCTCAAGATTTAAGTGGAAGTATAAATGTAAATAACATTAAGATCCGAAGCCAAATAAAATACCTGGGTGTCTCTATTGATCAACACTTACACTGGGGACCTCAGATTAAACACGTTAACAATAAATTAGCAAAAAATATTGGAATTATTACTAAATTGAGACACTATATAAATCTGCATACTCTGAAAGAATTGTATTACTCTTTCATCTATCCCTATTTGACCTATGCTATCACTAGTTGGGGAAGTGCTTGCAAAACTAGAATAAATAAAATCAGAACTAAGCAAAAGAAATGCATTCGTTCAATTTTTTTTTGCACACAGTAGAGAGAATGCTATGTCTTACAATTGATAATATTTTCAAACTAAAAGTAGCACTCTTTGCACATAAAATTATTAACAATCCAACAGGCATCCCAGCAATTGTTTATAGAACTCTACCTCTGGCTTCTGACTTCCATATCCCTTTGTCCAGAAGTGAGGCGACTTACATCTTCAATTGTCCTCCAGTCGACTTTGACCCTCTCCAGGAAATACTGCCGTTGTACTCCAGCTCCTTGCAGTTGCAAAAATTCCTCTTGGAAGATCACTTCATCCACAGTGGCAACTGGCAATGAACCAGACTGGGTTTCAGGTTCAGGGCTCATGAGCCAGTATAACCCAGTAAATTTGCCATAATTTTTCAATTTATGAAAAAAGTCGCTGCGTTCTTCGCAACTCGGGTCTCTCGAAAGAGCCCTATATCCGGGTTTTGCTGGCGGGAACATTTCTTGCACCGATGGCAGCGGCACGTTTGTGGCTTTACGCTTTCTCCACTGGCATTCAATATCAGTTCGACTAAGCTTATAAATGCCATGAATAAACAGAGCAGCAGCATGACTACACTTAAACTTCCCTCTTGGGCACTCACAGTCCGTTGACTTGATAGCTTTTTCCTCATCTAAATAAATCTTAAGAAGTGGAAAAAAACAGATCTTATTTTACGAACTTTAGGGCATCTGCGAGTTGATTAAGTAAGAGTGACGTTCCAAACATCGGTTGTATTTAGACTTAAATATCACGATTACGGCTTTCTATGAAATAATTGTCCACTGAAAACGTTTACACGGAAGGTCAATAATGGACGTATGAATCGTGCACAAGAATACGTTTAAGAAGAATGAATCAAACGTACCACAACATCTAGGAGAACGTATTGATTACTCACCGTCACTTTGTAGATCTTTTTCTTCATGCTGGCATGAACCTCTCCACGAATCACGCTATCGTTATAGAAAAAGCTTTCAATATGGTTTGATTGATAGTGATTTTCACCTCTGGTTAAAGATTTTTGCTCATCCACGAAAAAAGAAGCCAACGATGATATCGAGAGCGCCGCCATTTTGGGTGCTAGTCGTTTTGTTTAGACCCAAGTTATTTGGTTGCTTGGAAACATGACGTAACGACTTTAGAACTCTATGGGAGACTGTTCCACTGCATCTAAAAAATTGTTATCTCTTCTCCAAACAATTCAAGCTATATCTGCTAACTTCACAATCTGCTTCTTAGAATGCATTGATTTAGTTTACTTTAGTTTCTTTGTTCTTAGTCTTTGTTCTTTTGATTCATTATAAAAAAATTCTCCTTTTAACTTAATTAAATTTTTATTTAATTATTTACTTATTTACTCATTTCTCTATTCTCTTTGTTTATAATATTAATTGTGTATAAGTACCTTGGTTAGTGTAAATATAGAATTAAAGTAAAGTAAGTCTTGTTTAAATGTTAAGATACACCAGTTAATTATACGTGACAGTGGCCAACTCGAAAGCTATGCTACTTTGGTCACTGTGCACATTTTATTTTTGATTATTGATGTAATTTACTGTTTCTTATATATTCTGACATTTATAATCTGTAGTAACCTCATGAAATAGTGCAAATAAAGAGTTTCAGAGTTTCGACTTATCTTGTTTGTGCGTTATTCTCATTGTTTCACATTTATCGGGATTAAATTTCAACTGCCAGGTTTTACACCATTGAGTGAGTCAAAACAAGTCAGATTGTAGCACATGCATATCCTCAGGAATGTTCTCTATCTCCCTATGGAGTTTAGTGTTGTCTGCGTACAATTTCACAGTGGAAGGAACTCCAGTTGATATATCGTTAACGTACATTATGAACAAGATGGGCCCTAAAATTGTTCTCTGAGGTACGCCAGATTTTGCCTGAGTCCATGACGAATAGCTGCCATGCAAAACAACACGTTGCAACCGACCAATTAAAAAGCTTTGAAACCAATTGAGAAGAGGGCCGTCAATACCGTGTCTTTCTAATTTATGAAGCAGACATTTATGTGGAACACTGTCAAACGCTTTGGAGAAGTCTAACAGAATTACATCTGTAGGATTTCTCTTGTTATGAGATTTTTCCCATTTGTTAAAACAGAATAACAGCTGTGTAACCGTAGAGCGACCTTTCATGTATGCAAATTGTTGGGGTTGAAAATATTGGCTTCACCCCAAAACTCCATAATACGGTGTTTTACTATTTGTGGATAATGTTTTGTATGTTTTGTCAGGAAGAAAACCATCCATACGATGCGAAATATTGCTTTGTTTGTGGTGAGAAACTACCTCAAGGTTCTTAAGATGTTTACAGTCTTCTCGAGTTATACTTTCATCAAGGTTATTGTTACCAAGCAATGATTTACTTTCTGAGTTTCACGGCATAGATATACATGTAAGAACACTCAAACGAAAGCTACATGAAATGAGTCTAAAGAGAAGAGGAAACGAAATCGATATAGCACCTTTAAAAGCACACACAACCCACAACTTGTCTATTTGCTCCGACGAAGGGCTAACGCTCAAAACATCAGCTTTTATAACCGTAATGGTGGCCAATTTACCATTTCAACTGTGTTGATATATATTCAAATGAAATCGATAAAGACATAGTTAGAGAAACCATCAGGCGTGAGATGCAAGGAGCTGTAGAGTTAGCTGGCTATAGATATATCTGGCACGCTCTTCAATTGAGACATCATATGCATGTGTCATGTGCTGTGGTAAGTAAAATTATGAAAGAAATTGACCCTGCTGGAGTTGAAGAAAGGGCAAGAAAACGTCTAAAGAGAAGAAATTATATATCAAGAGGACCTAATTATTGGTGGCATATCGATGGTGAGTACTAAGTCATTATATAAAATTTCTTACTTACACAGGTAACTAGGGTGCACTTTGGATAGAAACTGGCAGGGATGCTCGTCAAAAATGGTGAAAATGATCTCTTAACCTGTATTGCGAGATATTCAAGGTGAGGGTGATAGTGAAAGGTTTGTACCCTTATAATAATGCCCATATAGCCTGTGTTTGCTGGTGGCCTGAAGTTAGCTAAAGAAAGGAGAGGAAGCACCACAGACAACTGGCAATGCATGGCTAAGGTCAATACTGGAGGGTATGGGAATATATTGATTTTAGCCTTAATTTGACCAAACTCACACAGTGTTTTGCAGTTAATAAATCATAATTTGTTTATTATCAGTATTGTGTTGTCACACGCATGTGATCATAAAATTGCATACCAGCATTAAATAATAATAGCATTATATAGCATATAAATAAGAAATATTGTTATTAGTACCATTTGATTTACTCCACTTCTTTTTTTTCTTTTGCTAATATTGAGCTTGTTTGAAATTCTGTTTGTAGGTTGTGATAAGCTTAAACCCTATGGCTTCCCTGTACATGGTGCTATTTGTGGCTACAGCAGGAGAATAATATGGCTTGAACTGGTTTGATCTAACAATATTCCAAAGGTTACTGCCATGCTGTATCTTGATGCTGTTGAAACTTTGCAAGGTTGCCCTAGAGTTGCGAGGTCAGATTGCAGAACAGAAAATGGTGTTATTGCTGGAATGCAATGCTATTTCAGAACAGATGGTATTGATGAATTTGCTGGAGAGAAATCTCATCAATATGGTTCTTCACCATCAAATCAGAGAATAGAGGGATGGTGGTCCTTTTTCTGAAGGAATCGATCAAGTTGGTGGATAGACTTTTTCAAAGATATGGTTCAGTCGGGAATACTTGAACGTGGAAACACATTTGACATGGAATGCCTATGTTTTGTTTCTCAAAGATTCTAGAAAAGGAACTTGATAATGTAAAAGACCACTGGGAATACACATTACATTAGAAAATCAAGACATGATACAGTTGCAGGTGTACCTGATATTTTGTACTTTTTATGTGAAAACTCAGGGTTAATGGACTGCGTGGTTCCATTACTCACAGAAAAACTAAAGGAAATGGAGAGTGAGTGTGGGATTGACAGTGATGAAGGCACTAGTGAAGTGGAGGAATGTCACAACTACTTTGAACATATCATTGAAACAAATAATTGGAAGATGCCTACAAATGAGGAAGATGCATTTGATTTATTTCAGAATTTTAAGAATTTGCAGATTTGATTCGTAAGTACCTCAGTGGTAAACATAAAATTCCAGTACAACATCTATGATGTATCTTTTTTATTATACAACTTGTGAAACAAGTAAAACTGTAACATATAGAAAAATGATATGCATTGAAGTTGTAAAGCTAACTGACTTTTATGACAAGGATATAGTTCAAGTACTTAACAATAGACAGTGAGTTAAAGCCTTCCAAAGCCATATGATTCTAACACTGCAGACTCCAGCATTTCTTGCATTTCTTATTCTGTATTGTTATGAATTGGCAGTTTGATTGTTGTGTCACATGTAGAAGCTGTTGGACAACAGTGACAACCAGGCACAAATAGGACCTTCAGCTTCTTTGGAAAGCCAAGTGGTGGTGGAGGGCAGCATCCTGTTAGCCGTTTCAGGAGGTCTTTCAGCTTCAAACAATTGCCTAGAATATACATAGAAAAAAAAAATTGGAAATATTTCATGTCAACCTGCCAATGGCTAGGAATTTTACAGATTGAATAAAAACGGAACTTTTTATCTTCTTATTATTGCATAAACACTTATTCTGTATATAAAATCATAATTAATGCAGACAATGACCAATTAGATTCAAAAGTACTAAAGGCTATTTAGCACCATTTTGTTTGTTTATTTTTAAAACAATCTGAATGTTTCTAGTTGTTTTTTAAATCCAATTTCCAATAGGTTGTTGTTGTTGTTGCTGTTGTTGGATCACTGGCTCTGTGAGGCTGATCCTGCCAGCTTATTTTGGTGAAGTTTATAAAAGAATAAATAAACTAAAGAAGTAATCCTATACAGTATATTAAATTTATTTTTCATTAAATTCACTATTAGTTACAGTGTAGTGAGTGAGTGACATAGTCACATGTCTAACAAAATACTTTGAAATCTCAGATAAAAATTAAAAAAAACCTAAACTTACCTCTTTCAAGATTTTCCACAACATCACAGAAGAACTTATAGGTTGTAATCTTGAGGTCTTTCTCCAGCTGTAATAGGCTATACTCTACCTCCAATCATCAAGAAATTCATCCACTGTCATCTCAAAAGAGTTACTACATTTGAAAAGTGGCTCCCAAATACTGGGACTTTTCTTGATAGAGGAAAGTAGTCCACTGGTGTGGAGTCCACTTTCCAGTTGCAGTAGTGCTGGTAAATATGGTGTTAGTTCTTTAACGGAAATTGATCTATAGTTAGTGAAAATATATGTTAGAATAGAAGTAAATCACACATAATTTTACAGAGATTTAGGCACAATGACAATAAGAGGGGGCATGAAACACTGCAAGAAAAAGCTTCATGTCAATTCACTATATTTTTCAGTAACACAAAAAGTTCTTGGACCTAAAAGGACAACTCACATTTTCATGCTTTTTTAACACAACACTGTACACTAAAATAAGGCGAACTCTGCAAACTCCATGTTTCCTGCGTTAAACTTTGTTTTGTGCAACAACACCATTTTGACTTTAATTGTATGTCACACAAAAACAGAGTACGTATTGTACAGTTAGTTACAGTATTTCGTATTAGTTAGTATTATATATGAAAATAATCTACATACTGTACAATTGCCTTGGCAGGTGTGATTGTTTCTCTTTGTGGAATACTTCTTTACCAGTAGTAGGGATTGGCTGGTTCTGGGACATTTTCGTTTAATAACTGACCATTCACATTCAATTATCATAATGCTGGTTTACGAGTTGCTTGTTTTACGGTAAACCGTCTAGAATTTAATGACCTTCGTGGGTTTTAATAATTTTAGGGATTTCATCTTTTTGGATTTCTGCATCTAGCAGAGGTATTTTAAAATGTGCATGTGTGTGTATTCCATCAAATAATATTTTTCTCTAAATTATCATCATTTGTTGAAAGAGCGATCTTGTTTACTTCTTCTGTGAACATCTCATGTTTACAACTCTTTATGACATACATCTTTTGGTAATGTTCAACACCGCTAAATAGGCATTTCTTACAATCATCAAAATTTATGCTATTGT